TCTCTTGCCTTGAAAACCGCATGGTCCTGGAGTCGTCATTAGTTGATTGTGGCTCGATGGTACACAATGATGACGACGTTGATGATGTCGTGAGGAAGACCGGTACCGGATCCCATGGAAAGCCAGTGCTAATCAGAGTAGACCGTGCTGACCTTCAAATAGCAAAGGTATAACCTGGTATAAGGCAGAGACAAGGGGTGTTTGTTTAGGGGAGGGGCTATGGCTCAGTGGAAGAACATCTTCCTCCTTAGAGCCAGTCTGGTGTCCTGGGTAAGTGCGCGGACTCTAATCTGGGAGAACCGGGTTTGATTCCCCCACTCCTCTGCTTGCAGCTGCTGGGTGACCTCGGGCTAGTCATAGTTCCGACAAGAGCTGTCCTTGATAGAGAGCAGTTCCTGTCAGAGCTCTCTCAGCCCCACCCCCACCTCCCTCACAGGGTGTCTGTTGTGAGGAGGGGAAGGGAAAAGAGTTTTTAAGCCGCTCTGAGACTCCCTTGGGTAGTGAAGGGCGGGGGGTATAAATCCAATCTCTTCTTCTTCATCATCATCCTTTGAAAAGTACCTGCTGCCGGTAAGTTTTTAAAGTGCTGTGGATAGACTGAGCCCCTCCTGGTAACCCAAAGACCGTCTGTCTCACCACAGAGAGAGATGTTCTTGGGGAACAGAAATGCCCCCAATACAAATAATATGGGCAAGTTTTAATTTTATTATTAATGCATTTATTCTCTGCCACATACGAAAGTCTGCTTTTCAGGCTCTGGGTGTTTGGGTATTATGCGACGCAGTGTCTTGGGTCATCACCAGCCATTTTGTTTCCTCTTGCAGAACACTTTCCCCTGCAAGACACACTGGAGCTTGACTTGGGGTAGGGATATAACCCCCCCTCCCACCCCAATTTAGTGTGAATCAAGGTTTTCCAGAGCAGGGCAGCAGTGGGAAACACCATCGCCGAAGGTAGCACGTTGCTCACACGAAAGCAGAGGTTAGATAGATTATTATTTTAACCTAGAAAGTCGAAGCCGTAAAAGGATCTGACAATTTTATGGGCGTTTCTTCTTCTCCATATAAATCTCTTTCTCTTCTTGGCAGGAAGCGAGAAAGCCATTCCTGCCAGCTGCCGAAGCACAACTTTCCTCTGGACTTCTATTTTTTCACCCCGGTTTGCCGGCGGAACCGGAGAAAAGTCTTGGCTCACAGATCCAAATATATTCTCCCCCAAGCAGTGTTCCCTCTAAGCTGAGTTAGTGTGAGCTAGCTCATGGTTTTTTAGCATCTGGTTTACACATTTTTCCCTTCGCTCCGAAAGGAGGGCTCCAGAGCAAACTGATTTATGCAGTAGCCAAATGCCTCGCTCACAACTTTCATGCCAGGAGCTCGCAAAGTAGAATTTTTGCTCACAAGACTCCACAGCTTAGAGGGAGCATTGCCCCCAAGTTGACTTTGCAATGGTTTCCCCACCATGCCCTCCTTCTCTGAAGCATTTGGGGCGACAAACAATTAATATGAGAAGCGCAGGCGTCAAACAAAAGGCCCGGGGCTGCTGGGAACCAGCAAAGGCTGCCGTAATATGATTAGAGTAATGACCGACACGTCGGAGTCTGCTTGCTTTTGTGCGCTCTAATTAACTTCTTGGAAGGCCACAGTGGCTTCCTCTGTGCTCATCGGACAGCTCTGTCCGTGTGGCCCCCCCATCTCTCCCTCTCTCCCTCCCCCAACAGAGGCCGCATCCTTCCAAGCGCACTGCTCAGTGAATTCATTGCCGGGAACAAAGGTGCGGCTGGCAGAATCCAGATTGATATCCTTTGTTGTCAGAAATCCAATACCATCGAGCCATCCAATTACTTCAGCTTCTTCTTTTTTAAAAAAAAAATCAGTCTCCGCACAGCTCAGGATGGATGGAGGTACGCTCTTAAAAAGCAGGATAATTCGGTCTCGCAAGTATGTAGTGGAACAGATTAGGGTGTTTGCGTTTTTTCTCTCCTGTAGGCGGGTATATCTACTGTCCACGTATCGGGATCTAGGAATCAAACCCGGAGCGCAAGGCAGGAGTCCTCGTTGCGAAGCCTGATCAAAGGGGGTCTGGAAAGCTACAGGGCCGCTGGAGGGATTCGCTCGGGAGGAAGAGAAGGCCGAGTCGGCCGGCCGGCCATCCATTTATGGCCTATCTTGGCAGGATCTTGACTGGAGTCAGAAACGGAAATTGCTTCTGGGTATTCTGGCCGTGGGTCAGCTCTCTCAATTTTCTGTTTCAAACGGTCGCCTCGCTGTGTTACAGGACAGATATGCTTCTGCTGCAACTTCTCCAGAACGCCACAGATCAGCACAAGAGCCAGGCAATTGCAAAGAGACGGGGGAAGGGGAGTCGTGCAGAGTGCTAGACCGGGGGTGGGGGTGGGGGGGGTGAGAAATGGGAAATGCAAGTACTGGTGCAGAATACATAAGGAGCCAACTGCATTGCTGGGCTTGAACTCTGCGCTTTTCTGGGGGGTGACGGAATGGGGTGCCATGCTGGAGGGAGAGAATCCTCCCTGACTATGGTACCGCCACCTCCCTGCCCGCCAGTCCCATGCTGGTGTCTCACCAGAGGTCAGTTCCCCCGGGTGAGGTACGGGGGGCGAGGCACATGATGAAGCCCCTCCCCCTGCTTCCGGCCGCCCCGCTTCCGGCCCTCATTCAGCCAGGAGGAGGCAGGAGAAGAGGGAGGGTAAGTTGCTTCCTCCCTGCCTCTCCCCACCCCTGCCTGCCTGAGGCCAGGGGGGGCCTTTGCAGGGCTTCCTTGCACTCCTGCCGGCCTTGCAGGTCCACCGCCGGGCCCCTGATGTCAGGGGGTGTGGCATATGCTAATGAGTTATGCTAATGAGTTCCCCTAGGTCTTTTTCTACAAAATGACCCCTGTTTCTCACCGAGTACTTGGGGGGGGGCACAATCGAGAGAGGCCAACCCCTCCCTCCTCGCGTGGCCGAGTCTCAGTGATTCATGCCAGGTCGGCCCTCTTGCCCAGGATTATGGCTGCTGTTTCTCCTGTGGCTGAGCTGTCCCTGAGCAGCAGGGCTTGGTAGCTTGGCGGGTTGTTGATCTTCCCTCTGGCCGGGAGAAGCGTCGGGGGGAGCAACAGAACACATCTCTCTGCCGTCCCTTTCCCTCACTTGCCCTGCTCTTCTCCCAGCACCACACCTCCCCCTACCCCACCATAGTGACGACGGGAAATGACTACTGCGTCACCTGGAAGTGACATCACTTCCTCTCCGAACTCCACCCTCCCCAGCCACTGCCCCAACAGAGCCCTATATGGCCGGGGTCCAACATTCCTACAGGACCGCCTTTCCCCGTATATACCCCAAAGAACACTACGGTCTGGGTCTCAAAATCGGTGGACCCCGCCTGGCCCGAGGGAGGCCAGGCTAGCTGCTACTAGGGCCGGGGCCTTTTCGGTGGTGGCCCCTACCTGGTGGAACGAGCTCCCGGAGGAGATCAGGGCCCTGTGGGGCCTCTCACAGTTCCGCAGGGCTTGCAAGACGGAGCTCTTCCGCCAGGCATACAATTAGGGGTCGCCGCCGCCCTCGTTCGCTGCCTGGTGCACGGCCCGTAATGTCGACATCGAGCAGCTGCCTCAAGAACAGGCAGAATAACATCCAAACACTTTACGTGGAATAACGTCGAAGCACTTTAATTTGGAAGCATCTCATTTCGTTTGATTTTTTAACTGCCGTCAGTACTCTGTAATTTTGTAATGTATTAATCTAAATGTTGTGTTTTAATTCTGCATTATTTATGCTTTTATTCTGCATTGTTCTGTTTGCTGTTGGAAGCCGCCCTGAGCCTGCTTTGCGGGGAGGGCGGGGCATAAATTTGACTATAAATATATATATGAATGAATAAATCTCGTGGTGCTGCCACCTCTTCACTCTTCCCCCCCTTCCCGTCACTGCTTCTTCCTTCTCCCCGCCCTTCCATGACCATCTCCTCCCAAGCTTTGGACACCATTTTCTTCCCCTACCCTTAATCTTCTCATGACTTTAAAAAAAAAGAAACCGAGGCCCAGGTGTGTGGGGTTGTGAGGCTGCCTGGACCAAGGCTGACGCATGGACCCATAGTGGGAGAGACAATCCTTCAGCCATGTGGGCCCTGGTTTGTGGAGGACTTTCGAGGTAAGCACCAGGCCTGTAGCCAGGGTTCTGTGGATTGTGGGGCAAATTGTTTCCTGGTGGGGCGGAAGTTCTCAGTGCAGAAACAAAAGCCATTGAGCCAACAGAAAGCTGTGACCAGGATTGGAGATCTATCCTGGTTTAGCAAGCTGTGAACCACTTTAGATGACAGTTCTCAGCTGCTGCAAGTTAATGACTTCAGCCAACCGAAGCAACAATTCTGATAACAAGCTGGCAGGTGGGGGTGATGAATTCTATAGTCAAGAAAGCTCACACTAAGGCAGAAAAACTTTCTTCAAGGAGACCAGTTTCTTAACACAGAGTTAGAAGGGATCCGAGAGAAGAGGAGGAGGAGGAGGAGGAGATTGGATTTATACTCCACCCTTCGCTTGGAGTCTCAGAGCAGCTGAAAAACTCCTTTCCCTTCCCCTCCCCACAATGGACACCCTGTGAGGCAGGTGGGGCTGAGAGAGCTCTGACGGAAACTGCTCTTTCAAGGACAGCTCTTGTCAGAACTATGGCTCACCCAAGGTCATCCAGCAGCTGCAAGTGGAGGAGTGGGGAATCAAACCCGGCTCTCCCAGATTAGAGTCTGCGCACTACACCACAACATCAAAGACAAAGGCTGATTTCCCACAAGCTGCTGCTCCACACACATTCCTCCCTTTGCCCCGAGAGTACGTGTCAATTTCGCACCATGTGCTGTGCGGCCGCATTTTGCTCCGCAGCTTCGCCCGATTCCCCCCGCGTCTAGTCAATCCTCAAAAAACAGGGTTGAATAGATGCGGGGGAAATCGGGAAAAGCTGCGAAGCAAAATGTGGCCACGCAGCACATGGTGTGAAATTTGACACGTACCGGAGTGCTCATCTGCTTCAGGAAGGAAGCTATAGCTGTCATGGCAGACATCCAGCAGATGTTTTACTCCTTCCTCGTCAGAGAAGACCACCGCAACTACTTGCGATTCCTATGGTTCAGCGATGAACAACATAACCAGCAGGTCACTGAATATCGCATGAGGGTGCACGTTTTTGGAAATGGCCCATCTCCCGCGATTGCCAACTATGGGTTGCACCAAACCGCTCGTATAGGAGAAGAGAGGTGTGGCCTGGACGCTAGAAGGTTTGTGGAACGAGACTTCTATGTCGATGATGGACTGAAGTCTGTACCCACTCCAGAGGAAGCTGTAGACTTGCTAAAAAGGACGCAGAAGATGTTGGCCACAGCAAACCTTAAGTTGCATAAAATTGCATCCAACAGTATGCAAGTGTTGGGGCGGAGCAGCAGCTTGTGGGAAATCAGCCCATATAAACTAGGAGAAATTCCTAGGCCATCAGTATGGAGGTCATTTGTCTTCCACTTCTCAGTTTTGTGAAGGTGGGCGTTTGGGGATGGGGCGGGGAATCCCCCACAAGGCTCGGGCGATTTGGAAGCTGAGGCCATGGTGGGGAAGAAGAGGAGGAAGCAGCAGTGTCACCAGGTGGGAGACAGTAAGGAGGAGCTGGAGTTCAGCCGGGGTTGCCAGCCCCCCACTGGGGGCGTGGATCCACTGCCCCTGGCCCCTGACCCCTGTGGCCAATCAGATGGCCTGTGCCACAGTGGTGGGAGACTGTGACCGATTTCACACAAGAGCTGCTCCGCGGTCGTGCCTCCCTTTCCCCTGCTTCTATTGGTCAATTTCCCACTCAAAGCCGCGCGGCTGCATTTTGACCCACGGCTTCACCGATTTTCCCCGCGGTTTCGTGATCCTCAAAAAACAGGATCATGAAACCGCGGGGGAAATCGGGCAAAGCCATGGATCAAAATGCAGCCGCGCGGCTTCAAGTGGGAAATTGACCAATAGAAGCAGGGGAAAGGGAGGCACGACCGCGGAGCAGCTCTTGTGTGAAATCGGTCACAGTCTCCCACCAACTTTGGTCACCAGCAACACAGGGCAGTCTGGTATTTGGGTTAAAAAGGTTCCGCAGGGCCTGCAAGACGGAGCTCTTCCGCCAGACTTTCGAGTAGGAGCCGCCGCCCCTACTATACCACCGCCCTGAGGTCCCGATGAAACATCTATTATGGAACAATCCTTCTGCCGTCTCCTTGGGACTTTGGACAGATGATCCGCCATCTTTTGAGTATGAATGGCACTGAGCACTTTGTTTATTTTAAGATCTAATTTAAGATTTTAATATGTAGTATGTTTTAAATTGTTATGTATATGATTGTTTTACCATGGCAAGTGTTCTTGCCTCTGTAAGCCGCCCTGAGCCCACGGGGGAGGGCGGGGTATAAGTACGAAAAATAAATAAATAAATAAATACTACAGAGTTTTTGCCCAGATACCAGAACCGAGACTGACCCCCCATAACTGGTAAGTCCCCCCGCCCCCATGTGGTACTTGGTGACCCTCAGTTCAGCAAGAGGAGAAGAAATGGAAAACAGCAAGGAAGGATAGGTTCCCCGCGGGTGCCCGCGCACACACACACACACACACAAAAGTTCCTTTCGGGTCCTCCATTTCTAATGAATGTAATTCTTATGTCAATATATCAATACTTTTGAGTGGTGTACTACATCTGCAGGAGTGAATTTATTCAGAGCACTGTTCTTTGCAGCAAACACTGCGTTGCTGCTTTCTCTCCTGTTTCAGCGATGCAGCTGAAAAGGCAATTTCAGACCTGAATAAAAATAAATGTTTAACTCGGGAATAGGCTTCAGTTAATCATCGCTTAGCCCCAGCCGGCAAGCAGAGTCTTCTCTCACACCGCTGAGCTTGAACCGAGTAGAAACTTTAAGTAGGAGGGAAGAGAAAATCAAAAGTTTGTCCTCTCCCGCAGTGTTGCGCGTGCCTGGGAGCGGAGCAGGAACAGGATCCTTCCATGCTCAGAACTGAGGAGTGTGACACCGAAATCCTTCCCATCCGAATGCGGGAAAGTAACCCGGATGATAATCAACGGGTGCCGGGGTTCCCATATGCTGAAAAGCAGAAAAGAGGACATACTTCCCGATTGACTACTTCAGACAACTGATCACTATGACAAATCTCATTTTAAATACCCCTCCTGTCACCACATTGTGGGACTCTCTGATAGTTAGTTTATTCTGGTTTTAATTGGAAATGTTTTTTTTTTTTAAACTATTATCATAAGCCAACTTGAACCTGAAGGACAGGTGGGGTATAAATGTTTCAATAAATAAATAAATATGTCTTTTGTTTTGCCATAGAGTTTTGGGGACTTCATAGAGCATCCAGTGATGTGATGACATCACTTCTGGTTACATACATACATACATACATACATACATACATACATACATACATACATATTAGATTTCTATACCACTCCTTTCCGTAGACTCGGAGCGGTTTACATGGTTCATACAATTGACTAACCTAGGGGCACATAGACAGGGGGGTGAATTCCTTACCCGGGCACCCCCTTTTTAAGGCAGGATCTTCTTCTTAGCTTTTTTTCCACGGCGGATTCTTGTTGGTATTGGCAATGTTACCGGCGCAGGTCTTCAGGCTCAGGCGCAGGTCTTTTCCATTCTTTCCAGCAGCGACACCTCCTGGTTACAGCAGCGTACGACCTTGCCGCGCCTCGGCACTCCTCCAGTCAGCCGTCCTTCGCCTCCCACGTCGCCGCCGTGCTGTCCTTCGGGACCGCTCACTCCTGCTTGCTGCCTCACCGCTGCCACCACCATCTTTTCCTCACAGCTTGCTCATCAGCCTGCCGTCGTCACTGCCACCGCCGCCATGGAACTTTGGCCAGGACGGCACAGTATGGTGCTCTGGTGCGTGTTCCCTTCCTCTAATCTCCCATTGCCAGCCAAAAGCTGTCGACCCTTAATGTGTTTCAGGAAGATCAATTGACTCTGTCCCTTTATGACTCTATCCCTTGTGACACGTATGGGCAGCAATGCTTCCTGTAAGCTGTGGAGTCTTGTGAGCAAAAAATCTACTTTGTGAGCTCCTGGCATTAAAGTTGTGAGTGATTCACACGTGGAATTCACTGCCACAGGAGATGGTGGCGGCTACAAACATGGACGCCTTCAAGAGGGAATTAGATAAGCATATAGAGCAGAGGTCCATCAGTGGCTCTTAGCCACAAGGTATAGATAGGAACTCTCATTCTGGGGCAAGGGATGCTCTGTATACTTGGTGTTTGGGGGAGGGCTTCTAGTGTCCTCCTGGCCCCACTGGTGGACCTCCTGATGGCACCTGGTATTTTTGGCCACTGTGTGACACAATGAGTGTTGGACTGGATGGGCCATTGGCCTGATCCAACACTGGCTTCTCTTATGTTCTTATGAGACCTGTATCCAAATCCCCATTCTGCAATGGAAGTTTGCCTGACCTGGGGCCAGACAGACGCGCTAACCTATCGCACAGGATTGTTGTGAGGATCAAAAAGGAGAAGGGGAGAAAGTTGCAGTCTACTTCAGGTCCCCCTTGGGGAGAAAAGTGGGCTATAAATAAAGTAAATGAATTGCTGTTTTCCACATATTAAGAAGTTACCGAAGAGAATTCGAGAGCGAGGAAGAGAGACAGAGAAACACCGTTTCGGTGCTATCCTAGACAGAGTTACCTCCTTCTAAACCTGTTGCTTTTCATGGATTTAGAAGGGTCTTACTCCCAGCCTGGGCGGCCCCTTCTAGCCTCAGCTCGTCCTATTCCAGAAGCTAAGCAGGGTCGGCCCTGGTCAGTACTTGGATGAGAGACCACCAAGGAAGTTCAGGGTCCCTATGCAGAGGCAGGCAATGGGCAAACCATCTCTTGGCTGATCTGGAAGGCCCAGGCTAGCCCAATCTCATCGGATCTCAGAAGCTTAGGAGGGTTGGCCCTGGTTTGTACTTGGATGGGAGACCTCCCAGGAAGCCCAGGGTTGCCACACAGAGACAGGCCACGGCAAACCACCTCTGAACATCTCTTGTCTTGAAATCCCTATAAAAAAGCCATGGCCTGAATGGCCCAGGCTAACCTGATCTGATTAGATCTGGGAAGCAATGCTCCCTCTAAGCTGTGGAGTCTTGTGAGCAAACATTCTACTTTGTGAGCTACGGGCATTAAAGTTGTGAGTGAGTGATTAGGTTTTTTTTTTTTTTTCAGTCGTTCAGTCGAGTCCGACTCTTCGCGACCCCATGAACCAGCTCCCGCCAGGCCCTCCTGTCTTCCGCTGTCCTCTGAAGTTGGCTCAATTTCATGTTCGTTGCGTCGCTGACACTGTCCAACCATCTCAACCTTTGCCGTCCCCGTCTTCTGTGACCTTCAATCTTTCCCAGCATCAGGGTCTTCTCCAGTGAGTGCTCCCTTCTCATTTGGTGGCCAAAGTATTTGAGCTTCAGTTTCATTATCTGGCCTTCCAGGGAACAGTCAGGGTTGATTTCTTTGAGGAGTGACTGATTCAATCTCCTTGCAGTCCAAGGGACTCTCAAGAGTCTTCTCCAGCACCATAGTTCAAAAGAATCTATTATTCGGCGCTCGGCCTTCCTTATAGTCCAACTCTCGCAGCCATACATGACTACTGGGAATACCATTGCTTTGACCATGCGGACTTTTGTTGTAAATTAGCTTGCTCTGGAGCCATCCTTCCTGACAAAAATTTGTGAGATGGAGGCCAACTTAGAGGGAACACTGCTGGGAAGCTAAGCAGGGTTGGCCTGGGGTAATACTTGGACGAGAACCACCAAGGAAGTCCAGGGTTGCTATGCAGGAGGAGGCAATTAGAAATGGGCACAAACTGGAAAAATGTGGTTTGTGTCAGTTTGTGACCGAACCATGAACTGAACCAGGAGGTTCATTCCAATTCAGTTCATGGCCCTGCAAACACCATTGAAAGGGACCACAATCCTTTTCAGTGGGGTTTGCAAAAAGCCTGAAAAACAGCTGAGCGATAGGGATCAGCTTGCTCCCC